GTATTTTAAATTGTTGTTTTGTCTATTTATCCCCTTCCCTTGTTTATTGTAAGCCGCCCAGAGTCCTTCGGGAGTGGGCGGTATACAAGACCAATAAACTACTACTACTACTACATGCAATTACTTTGCAAAAGATTAACACTGGCATATTCCAATCTTAGGAGGATAGACCAAGAGATCCTGGAGGTTTCAGCTTTACCTCTCTAAAGCCAGTGATAATTATTCACATACAGACACAAGAAGATATTATGACTTCTGAAGAAGTTATGGCATCCAGGTAATGAAAGGACTGTGGTGGGGTACATGTCCCTACAAATGAGAGATTGAAATATCATGCCCTTGCGTTCTGATTATTTGCTCCTCGTAAGGAATCTACAGAAACTGAGTTTCTTATGGTTTTGTGAGTTGAGTACCTTGGGAGCCAAATGATTATAATCATGCTCAAAATCATGTGCAGCCTTGATGGACACTTGACTTGCAACCCCCCCCCCCCTTAGGATCTAATAAATTTACAACCTAACACAGATTTTCTGACCAGCAGAAAAAAAATGAAGAAATTCATTGAGTCAACTTCTTTTTGGAATTAAGAAGAAAAAAACCATTATCCTGAAGATTTTAAATTAAAAGAAAAAGTTTAACAGGTCTATATTTAAGAATTTTTAAAAATAGATAAAGGAACAATTATTTTAGAAGACTGTTTTTTTTTTCTTTCACAAAAGTACTTTTGAAAATAGAGCTAACTAGAAAATCATGGGATTGTTGTTCATTATTAAGTTGCTAAGATATATTTTACAAAATAACATGTTTTGTTACAAATCTTTAAGCTTAGAAGTGAAGCACTTTTTAAAAATATCTGATGACATCCTGATCTATAAATTGTCCTCCCTTCTCCTATTTTTGATGCTTTTCTTGTGGTCGCCATTGTAATATTTATGGCCCAAAAGTGAAAATGTAATTACCAGAATGAAAGAAAAATTCAAGGTATTCAATGTTTTGATGGTTCTCCTCCTGTGGCCCCATGGCCGTGTTTTACAATGATTTTGTAGAATGTCAACATTTACCTACAGTCTTTGGCAAAAGTGTGCCCATAGTGAACCATTGGTTCACTTAACAACCATGGCACTTGCTTAGCTCTCTTTAAAAAAAAGGTCATAAAATCATGGGAGGAATGTTCTGAAGGATAGATATTCCCAAAGACTGATGGTCAAAACTGAATCTGAATTGACTTATGTTTGTTTAAAAACTGGACACTGTTACTACATTGACTGGTATTTCATGACCAGTATTTCAAAAATATAACTTAAAAGTAGAAAGAACTCTGAAAACAAGGGATGCTTTAAAGAATTTATAAGTAGAACAACATGGCAGTGCTGTCCCTCCTTGCAAAAACATTTGTAGGGACGTTTAACCCACCATAGTCCTTTCATGTCCTTGGATATCAAAGAGGTCACTTGGAGCCTCCTCCCCATGTTGTTGGGGGTCCTAAAGAGCCCAGGTGGCGCAGTGGTTAAATGCAGCACTGCAGGCTACTTCAGCTGACTGCAGTTCTGCAGTTCGGCTGTTCAAATCTCACTGGCTCAGGGTTGACTCAGCCTTCCATCCTTCCGAGGTGGGTAAAATGAGGACCCGGATTGTTGTTGGGGGCAATATGCTGACTCTGTAAACCGCTTAGAGAGGGCTGAAAGCCCTATAAAGCGGTATATAAGTCTAACTGCTATTGCTATTGCTAAGTGCTCTCCTGACCTTGGTTGTTTTCTTGCAGATGTTTCATTACCAAATTAAATAATAGTCATCACCTTAAAAAACTGTAAATTCATAAAGTATTTTTTCTCAATATCATTTTTTAAAGAAAAAAACTCCTTTGAAAGAATCCCACCAATTCTTTACTCTCATCATAAAGCCAAGCAGAAAAGAAAGCAATATTAAAATAAACTGGGGAGGGGTTTTTTAAATCAAGTTCTAATTCAGTTTCATTTACCTGTTGATAATGTACTACTGTGTGCTACTGCTGTGTTTCTGGTCCTTGTATTTGATCCAAAATACGATGCAGAGGTAGAGTCAGAAGACATTCCAGCAATACTACGAGTACAACTGGTAGTATACACCTTATGGCTTGTGACACAGGATTTTTTGCCTGATGTATTTTGATTAGAAGAGTTTTCTGCCTCAGACTGAATTTCTGTTTGAGATTTACACTGCTTCTGTTTTGCGTTTCTTAACATACAGAATGAAAACAAAATGTATTTGATTAATGTAATTTATTTTCTAAATGCCTTGGTAATTAATTATGCTGTACTGGTTAAGACTTTGGGCTAAGATTGGGGGTACCCAGGCATTATTTATTTCTCACTTTTATAATTTTTATAAATAATTCAAAGTTGCAAACATACCTTATACTCCTTCTCCTCCTATTTTTCCCCACAGCAACCCTGTTAGGTGAGTTGGGTTGGGAGAGAGTGACTGGCTCAAAGTCAGTCTGGTTTTCATGAATAAGATGGGACAAGAATTCATAATCTCCTGGATTCAAGTCTGGTGCCTTAACTACTACCATGTTTTCCCCAAAATAAGATGGGGTCTTATTTTTTTTTCCACCCACAAAATATGACTTGGGCCTTATTATCAGGGGAGGGCTTATTGTTTTGGGGTTGCTGGGTGGCTGCTCCCTTGTGAGCGGGCTCCCAATGAGCCGGGCACAGCTTCAGGGGCGAAGCAGTCATGAGGTGACCACCCTCATGAGCAGCCGCCCGACAACCCCCGTCTCCAGCCGGGCAGTGTGCCATTCACTGACCTAGGGGGTATCCCTAAGGCGCCAAACCACATGGCGCTCTGGCCACCCTCCAGTTCCCGTGGCTTGGCACATTAGGGATACCTCCTAGGTCAGTGCATGGAGCTCTGCTCGGCTGGAGAAGGGGGTTGTGCGAGCACCTGTTCATTCCCCAGCAAGCATGCCTCCCAGCCTCACCATGCCCTGGCCCAACTCTCCCTGCAGGGCCGAGGCACTGCCACTGCTGCACTCCAAGCATAACTTCTTCTCCAGCTTCCCAACTCCAAAACTGAGTCTTCCAACGGTGGCCGCTCTAGGAGTGTGCTCTATGGTTGTGGGCTGGCTGCTGGACAGAGTCTTCTGGCAGCCAGCCCACAACCATAGAGCACATTCCTAGAGCGGCCGCTGCTGGAAGACTCAGCAACTGAGTTTTGGAGTTTGGAAGCCAGAAAAGAAGTTATGCTTGGAGCGCGGCAGCGGTGCCTTGGCCCTGCAGGGAGAGCTGGGCCAGGGCATGGTGAGGCTGGGAGGCATGCTTGCTGAGGGCAGAACAGGCGCTCGTGCAACCCTTGTAATAAATAAAATAAAACACTCAATGAAAGATATAATTACTTTATTACCATATTTTTCGGAGTATAAGATGCACCAGTCTAAGACACACCAAGGTTTGAAGAGGCAAATTAAAAAAAAGTAGGTAGGTAGATATAGGAATAGAGTGGGAGAAATATAGTAGGTAGGTAGGGAGAGAGAGAGTAGGTAGGTAGGTAGAGGGAGAGAGATAGACAGAGAGAAATACAGTAGGTTGATAGGGAGAGAGAGAGTAGGTAGGTAGATAGAGGGAGGGAGAGAGAGAGAGAGAAATACAGTAGGTAGGTAGGTAGAAAGAGAGTAGGCAGGTAGATGTTTCCAGGTGTATTTATCCATGTGCTGGAAAAGGCAATTGCTGACAACCTGCAGCACCTAAGACTTGTTTCTGCTGACACAGCACTTGATCAATGTAATTCTCATCAATTACTCTAACTAAAGAGCTTTCCGAAAGGGGGGGGGGGAGTTTTTGCACTCTGCAAACCTCCCCAATGGCCCATTTTTTTCAAAAACGGACCCACGTTTTTCAAATAAAAGGCATGAATAGCCTTGAGGGGGGGCGTGCAGAGTGCTCCTGGAGGCTGGGGGGGGGGCGACAAAAAACAGCCCATTTTTTGCTCCTTTCTGCCCTCCCTAGTCCCCAGGAGCTCTTTGAAAGCCTCCATAAGGCTATACACGGCCATTTTGGTGAAGGGGGTGGGGCTTCAGGAGGCAAAAACAGTATTCGATGTATAAGACGCACCCAGATTTTCAGCTTCTTTTTGAGGAAAAAAGGTGCATCTTATACTCTGAAAAATATGGTAGATATTAAAAAATATTAAAATCATATTAAAATGATGCAATATAACATAATATTCTTAAAAGTATTCACTGTTTGTAGTTTAAAATTTAAACTTTAGAGTTTAAAGACTAACAAACAGAAAAGGGAAATTAGTTATTAATTAAGGAATTTGTTTGAGGTGAATTACAGTTTAGCACCAATGATTCTAAAAGATTAATAGATTTAAAAAATTACCTCAGTATTTTGGCAGAGCGTTGTACAGATTTATTCAGACTTTGCAACTTTCTGCTGGATCTCTCACTTCTCCATATTCTTTCATTGTGCTTTTGCCCAGTTCTAAAGTCAGAGATAATTCTGCTAATTTTTTCCTCAAACAGTGCAGATAATCTCAGTGTCATACTATATATCTAGATTAAGAAATGCAGACTGAATTAATAACTATGAAGGATATGGAACTCACAAATTAATAATTTTATTTTTAAAAGTATAAACTAACAAATATACAACTTATTACACTATTCCTTTTCAGTTAAACAGTAGTAAACGAAACAAAAGGAGCAATAAAACAGTAAACCGTATAAGAAAAATGATGAAATTGATTATTTTCACTTCTCTTCACCTAATTTGACAACAATTTATTTCCATCATAACTGCTTGGTTTATTTCTATCACATTAATTAAACCAGTCCCTGTTCTCTTTGACTCAATTCATACTAAAATATGAAGTATTTTCTCTTCCTCAATTTTTCTGCAGCGATAATTATCTTTTAAACTTCTTTTCTTCATTCATAATCTTTTTCACTTTTACTTTCCACCAAGCATCCATTTTATATCCTATATTAGCATAACTTCAGAGACTTCTGTAGAATGTAATACAATTTTTTTACTCTGTTACAAGCCATTTCACACATCCTCTTTCCTTATCCCCACTTGCTATTCATTCTGTTGAAATAGTAATTTATTTTCTAATACCTTTTATATAACAATACAATACAATAGCAGAGTTGGAAGGGACCATGGAGGTCTTCTAGTTCAACCCCCTGCCTAGGCAGGAAACCCTATACTGTTTCAGACAAATGGCTATCCAACATCTTCTTAAAGACTTCAAGTGTTGAGGCATTCACAACTTCTGGAGGCAAACTCTATTCCATTAATTGTTCTAACTGTCAGGAAATTTCTCCTCAGTTCTAAGATGCTTCTCTCCTTGATTAGTTTCCACTCATTGTTTCTTGTTCTACACTCAAGTGCCCTGGAGAATAGTTTTGACTCCCCCTTCTTTGCGGCAACCCTGAGATATTGGAACACTGCTATCATGTATCCCCTAGTCCTTCTTTTCATTAAACTAGACATACCAGTTCCTGCAACCGTTCTTCATATATTTTAGTCTCCAGTCCCCTAATCCTCTTTGTTGCTCTTCTCTGCACTCTTTCTAGAGTCTCCACATTTTTTCAACATCGTGGTGACCAAAACTGAATGCAGTATTCCAAGTGTGGTCTTACTAAGGCATTATAAAGTGGTATTAACACTTCACGTGATCTTGATTCTATCCCTCTGTTTATGCAGCCTAGAACTGTGTTGGCTTTTTTGGCAGCTGCTGCACACTGCTGGCTCATGTTTAAATAGTTGTCCACTAGGATTCCAAGATCCCTCTCACAGTTACTACTATTGAGCAAGGCACCACCTTGAGTTGTAAGCCGCCCTGAGTCCCCCCAGGGAAAAGGGCTGCCTATAAATAAACTTTCAAATTCAAATTCAAAATTCACCTATACTGTACCTGTGCATTTCATTTTTCTTGCCTAAATGTACAACCTTACTCTTTTCACAATTGAATTTCATTTTATTAGATAGTGCCCAATGTTCAAGTTTGTCAAGATCCTTTTGTATCTTAAGCCTATCTTCTGGAGTATTGGCTATTCCTGCCAGCTTGGTGTCATCTGTAAATTTGATGAGTTCCCCATTTATTCCCTCATCCAAATCATTGATGAAGATGTTGAAGAGTACTGGGCCTAAAACAGAGCCTTGGGGTACTCCACTGCATACCTCCCTCCATGTAGATGCAGTTCTATTGAGGACTACACGTTGAGTGAGGTTGGTCAGCCAGTTACAAATCCATCTGGTGGTGATGCTGTCTAACCCACATTCTGCTACTTTATAGGATTTGCACTTTCTCTTCCTGCGGTTATTCAATTATGGTTGTATGCAAATTTACCTAAAAGTATGACCTATTCAATCACAGGACATTCTTTAGAGGAAATATGTATATAGTATCACTGGTTACCATACTGAGCACAATACCATGTATACTCACATATAGGTCCATGCATGAAGAATAATATTTTTAAACCAATCATCAGATTTTTATCCATATTACCATTATCAATGTTCTATTTGTAAAAAGCTGGCCGTCAAAAATTACTGTATGTTTTATTATTCAGAAGTGTCTTATCTTCTGGTAATACATTTTTATTGTATTTTGGTTAAAAAATATATCAAAGATTGGCTTAACCACAGATGACTTTATCCGCAACTATATATGGGATATATGGATACTTTAAAAAGTAGTACTGTATAGTCTCACAGATAAACTGAACCCAATTTTAGGTCTGTATTTTGGCACTCAGCAATAGCAATAGCAGTTAGACTTATATACCGCTTCATAGGGCTTTCAGCCCTCTCTAAGCGGTTTACAGAGTCAGCATATCGCCCCCACAGTCTGGGTCCTCATTTCACCCACCTCGGAAGGATGGAAGGCTGAGTCAACCTTGAGCCGGTGAGATTAGAACCGCTGAACTGCAGATAACAGTCAGCTGAAGTGGCCTGCAGTACTGCACCCTAACCACTGCACCACCTCGGCTCCTCACATAAAATTCTCCATTTATCTGCAAACATGTGACAGTGCTTCTTTGGTAAACTAATCTTGTATTTAGGCATTATATTTCTCATTTTGGCTATAATGAACATCTGCAACAATTTAGCCATAACAAATTGATGTTGCCTAAGAAAAGTGAACATACTGGAATCGAATAGTAGTTGAAAATATTATCCAAGACATCTTAATTAAAACACATTTAGTCACATAGTTAAAAGAAGCTGCTTACACATTCAGAGCCTGTATTAAGGAATGTATAAAGTATTGTGCTTATTCTCCTTTAAACTAAATATGTTTTAAAGTAAAATTATTTACCAATTGTTCCTTAAGTTCTCATAACAAGAGTTTTGATTGATTTCACACTTTCAATGATCTTCCAACAACTTTCATTTCCTATCCATCTAACCTTTGCCTAACTGCTAATAATACTTACTTGGTTATTGCAGTGAATAGTATAGAAACGTTACCTTAGACTTTTTGTTTGGGGTATATGCTTTAGCATTGCTAAATATTAGTCTGATATCTTTGCACAGTTCCATTGGAGTATCATAGTTTTCAGCTTCTAGTGTTTCCTTTATTGTGGCTAAGTCCATTGGTGTGTCTATAATTTCTCTGTAGTCCTAAATAAAGATAACCAAATGGCTCCATTATTAAAAGGCTGGGGTGGAGTTTCTCGTATACAGGTGAAAGCCTGTAGATAGATAGACAAGACAGACACAGAGAGGAAGTGTGCAGACTAAGTAACTTTAATACACTTTTTTAAAGGATTTAAAAACAAGCACAGCTAAGTATCATAGGACTATGCAGCTTGGAATGAAATCTAAGATGGGAATCGTGGGAAATTAGTATGTCTACTGTCTCAAATAGCGTTTGAAGAACTGTATTATAATATATAAAATATATATTAACAATCATTGTTTATTAAATTCTAAAATCCTAGTGGAATTGGCTAATCCAGTATAATTTGTTTTTCTAATAATTTTACCATTCCTTTGCAAGGCTATTTAACAAGTCTCATGCTAATGAAACACATTTCCTTAGTCCAAAAAATATCAAAATTGAAGTTCTCTTCTTAACTGTGATGATAAAAAGGGGACAAAAACTACAGCAGTTTCTTTCTGAAGACTGAAGAAGCAGAATAGAAAGTGAGAAAAAGAAAAAAAGACAAAGCTAGGGAAAGCATCTTTGATATATTTGCAAAAATTTGCAAGCATCTTAATTTCAGATTATTTAGAATGTTGTTCATTAAAATAGCATTAGTACAGTACTAATATAACTGTCAACCCTGAAGCTGACCTGACCAGAGCCATACTGGAGCTTCAGTGTTGCCATACACTGGAGCTAAGGGAAAGGGAGGGGGGATTATAGATAAAAGGGATTGTGTAGCCAATAAAATACTTTCTCTTGAGAACCAAGGACATTCTCACACCTGCACCATGGAAGGAAGAGTGAGGTCACCAGACAACATCTTGATTGGACCATATGACTAATTGTTCGGGGTTGTGGGAAAACTTTGTCTTTTAATTAGGTGAAAACCGTGGGAACCTTCAGAGTCGCTTTTTACCAGATTTGTGTCAATATGATATATCCAATAAAGCTATTCTTTGAGGAATTCATCTGCCTCGGAGTTTTGTTTAGTATGGGTCTATTACTTGGAACCCTGACATTAAACCGACTCTCCTAAAACTCAAGCTCCGACAGGAGCCGCTATCTGGGGTCCTGAGCCCCAGCTGCTTACCCAATCTACCCAGGCAGCAGGAAGACTCAGGGAAGATAACAATAATGTAATATATGGACTGTTTCATATCTAATAGGCCTATAAGTGCATTTAACTTATGAAGGGGTAGCTGATAACTGTACTCAGATTCTTCAACTACCTTCCAACAAGGCTTCTCCAATGGTCTTCCGCCAAAGTGTTTAAAAGTTTTCCTTCTCCAGAACAGTTTGGGCAGATTCATGCTTCAGACATTACATAATCTTCAACTTACTGGATATGGTAAATTAAATTATTTTCAGCAAGTTTTACCCTGATGCTGATATTTGTTTTATTAGGATTGTACTCTGTGACTCAGAATCAAATATGGATGTAAATGCATAGTGTGTCCATCTCCATTTCCATAACAAGCTTTGAAGTTCACAACATGGAAAAGGTTGTATTGCATGGTAAAAATGTGTTCTTTTTGTTTAAAGTACCCTTTCTGTGCTTAGGAAATACTAGATTCAAGGTTTAGCAGCTGTATATAAAATATAGAGTAACTTGTCATCAAAACAACTGTAACCTCATTTGCTTTTGGGGCAGTGACAAGATCATGAGAGATTCAGAAGATATGTATTGTTTTATGTCTGTGTTATGAACCATATTCAAAAGAGAAAAGGAGACTGCACATGATCATGGAATTGTAGGCATTCTGTTTGCTTAGGAAACAAAATACTGTATTTCCCTTAGGTGTACAATGATTGAACAAGGGTGCCTTCAGACTTATCCACCAGAGATTTCTAACTGAAGCAGACATTTTTCTTGTTTTGAATAAGAAAGTACACCGGATAAGAGAATGTTTTAAAATGTGGCATGTTTGATGTTACTGTAGAATAATTACTTACAGGGTACCGCTCCAGATCAACAGGCTGTCTAAAGGGTTCTGAATCCTCACACTGGAAAATTAGATTAACAAGTTCCATACATTGTTTCCTCCATCTGTTTTCATCATAACGTGATTTTGTAATATTTTTTCCTTTCAACAATTGTCTCTTTTTTAAAAAAAAGTAAAATACCCATAAATATTTGATGACTTTTAAAAATGCAATTACATCAAATGAATTGCATTCAGCTACTTAAAAATACAAAATTCCTACTCATTCATATAGAAAAAAGTTATATAGATAAAATTAACTTACTTTCCTAGAAGATGTCCTTAGTTTATAATCATCATCCTAGGAAGTGAACCAGATATATTAATCATACATTTATTTTGAATTAAGGTAGAAAACACCATTTTGCTTAATATGTTTACTGGGTTGAATCCAAATTAATATTACAAATGAGGAAGACTAAAGCTTAACAACATAGCAATGAAAGAGAAATATCAACAATTAACTGCAAAATATATACAAAGCTAGCTTTATTACCGATTCAGTAGCAGCTATGCTGTCTTCATTTGTTGCAGTACACAACTCAAAAAAGTTAGTACAATTTGGATTCCTGAAAAATAAAAGTGCATTTTAGACACAAAAGTATGACTCTTTAACTTTATCAGTGCAAGTTTGAAATCAATTTTTCTGAATACTAACATTGCAGATGGTTTTTAGAAATAAATAGAAATCCATAAAATGTTTCAAAGTGCAACAAAAACATACAGGTGGGTCTTGACTTATAACCACAACCAGGACTGGAATCTCAGTCACTAACAACCACAATCCTGGCTGCTGTTGTGAAGTGAAAATTACAGGTCATAGTTGAGATCCAGTAAGGAGTGCAAAAGTGCCTCAAGGGAATTGGGGGCAGGGGGAACTGGAATAGACCATGTGCAAGTTAGGGAATGCTGCAATATGGAAGCCTCAGCCACCCCAGATTGGCCCAGTAGTATTGCCACATCACAGAAGGTTCGGCTGCCCAGATAGCTCTACAGTGCTTACAACTAAAGGGGCACTCCAAATTCTTCCACTAGTTTATCTCCCCAACCAATCAGTTTTTTAGCTAACCTGCACAGCAGCACTCAGTGGTGGCAATGTTGGAATGGAAATAGAAGCCCAGGGCCTCTAGCAGTATCAGGTCCCCACTTCAGCTCTAGTACCACCATTACCACTCAGAAATATTGCCTCAAGCCCCAGACCATTGGACTTGCTTGCCTCACACCATTCTCCAAACTAATGTCATGTTTCTTTTATGAGCCAACCTCCTGTTCTTTCTGCAAGATGGCCTAGTATTCTCAGAAACCTCTGGCTCTTCCCCAGGTCTTGTGAGAATAGGACAATGGTTTTTAGAACAGCAGAAGCCCTGTTCTCATCATGCTTCAATGCCTCATTCCCAAAATCATGTTTGCTATTCTGCAAGCCAGTGAAGGATTGAGAGAATGAGATGCTGGCCTGCAACAGAGACGCTGGCATGCATAAATAATGGGGATATGCAGCTTGGAGAATGATGGTATCATGTGGGCAGAAACATATGGAGAAGTACAGTAAATAGTATTATATTAAGCTAGATTTAATTGGATTTTACAATAATACAATAGCAGAGTTGGAAGGGACCTTTGAGGTCTTCTAGTCCAGCTCCCTGCCTAGGCAGGAAACCCTATACCATTTCAAACAAATGGCTATCCAACATCTTCTTAAAGACTTCCAGTGTTGGGGCATTCACAACTTCTGGAGGCAAGCTGTTCCATTAATTGTTCTAACTGTCAGGAAGTTTCTCCTCAGTCTTAAGTTGCTTCTCTCCTTGATTAGTGTTCACCCATTGCTTCTGGTTCTACACTCAGGTGCCCTGGAAAATAGTTTGACTCCCTCTTCTTTGTGGCAAACCCTGAGATATTGGAACACTG